AAGTTTTGATGATTTCATCGTAGCTTTTTTGAAATATTGGTTGAGGCAAATCCATAAACGCACAGAACTTTTTTATTCCATTTAAACCGATTCCCAACCAACGCATTGCCAAAACCATTCGTTTATTTACTTCATACGCTTTATTATTAATTTTTGGGCAACTATTTATGTGCACTGGTTCACACGCCTCACAGCTTATAACGATTTTGAAGCCTAATCCTTGTTTGTTTGCTTCAGTGAATTTCACTGGCTTGTGGCACGTATGGCACACCAACACTTCCGATAGAGCAGAGAAAACTGATGCGAAACATAGTAAACGATAGCCAAAAGTGCTATCGTAATCAATATCATACTCATTTTCCGATAACTTCAATTTTTTAGAGGACGTGCCGACGCTCTCAGCCGACTGCTCTAGCAGATATCGATTTTTCGGGGTGCCGCCTCTCACACCTTTTCTTCTCACTGTTGCTTGGCTACTTTTCGTTCCTTTGCATGATTTTCTGTTACTTGTATACATTTTTGATCAAAATTATACAAAAATATCGAATAAAAACTCAACAGAACTAAGAAACACGTGCTTCTTACGAGAGCAAGCAAAACTCTACTTCTAACGGTTTTTCTGGCGTCAGCTGTTGTTCTAGCTTAAAAATTCGAGTAGTAGAGACATCTAATGGTTTCATTTTCAAGTTTTATCCTACTGATGTAAGTATAATATGTTTACGAAGGAATAGTGACCCCTACTGTACCGTTATAGAACGTGCCCTAATTACTCGTTAAATAGCACCGTGATTTTACTCGGAAACCGAATTTTTCGGCCACTTTAAAAATTTTCCTCCACATAAAATGTTTTGGGCATCATTTTTGGATAGTTAAGGAAGAATTTAAGCCAATAAAAAAAATGGTTAAAAAAAAATTTACAAGGTAGTGTTACCCCTTAAATAAATTACGCGATTTGAACAAAAAAAAGATAACAAGTTTATTATTAGGAAAATAAAGTAACACTACGAGTGAATAATTAACAAATCAATAATAAGAATTGGATCGGTTTAGAACAATGCCTCAGCAAACAATAATAAGCGATAATTGAACTGAGATTAACAATTCCTTACAAAGATATTAGTTCGCTATTAATTCCCCGAAAAACGAGAACGAATCATACAAATCAAGAAACGACGGTCCACAATAAATTCGAACGAAATACGAAAGCGAAAAAGACAATATAATTAATCCTGGCACGAAAATTGCGACGGTATTCTGACCAAGTATCTGCTCGAATCGACAACGAAAATGAGAGCGGTAATACAATTCGGTTGTTTATCCGAGCCCGTTTTTATGGCTGGAGTTCGCAGGATTGAGCGAGACTTTACGGAATACTAAGGATTTTCGGTACGAAAATATTCGCGGATATTATTCAAACGATAGCATAATTTCTGTAGCCAGATCGATGACTTATTGCAACGGACTTTTCCCCGCAATTTCCTAATTCGCGAAACAAATCGACAGCTTACTAATTCGACAACATAAGTAACCGGAAATACTGAATACTTTTGCGAAGACGGATCACGTATGCGATAGGCGAACGATAATCTCAAATTTCGATAGCCGACGGCAGCCGGAGAATTTTCTCCGCCGATGTCTCGCCTCTTTCTTCCGCGCAAATCGCTCAATTTTATCCTCACTATTTGAGCAATTATCTCGCACCACGATAAATTCGGCAGACGCTACATATTATTTATTACGCGCCATTCGACAGCGTAATAAGCGCGACAAAGACGATCATATTCTGTTACCCTTTGTTACGCTCTTTTCGGCGGCGTAATAAGCGCGACAATGACGCAAATACTTTCACGCTCACTCTACAATGAAATATCAAAAACGCTCACACGCACTTTTACAATTAACGACGACATACACGCAATCAGACATCCAAAAATCGCCCTGAGATACGTCACGGGATATTCTACGCGGCGACAACAGCGGTACGACAATCCGGGCGGTATTCGCTTTCACGATCCTTCGCGCACGCGGCCGATATTCGCCGGTCGATAGCTTCGCGTAAAGAACACCCGAAACCCGGAGAGAGACGAACGTTGTCTTATCAATTTAACGCCTACGCTACGATGGTCCTTCCTCGGTCGCTTGCCTCCGGTCGCCCGACAAATTCACGAAATATCACCGTCTCGGCAAACGGCTCGAGCGGTCGCGAAACACGAAAAAGATGGCGACGGCGGCAGAACGGCTGGCACGCGGACGAAATCGCGTACGTGGTTTACACAAATGATGGGCAACCTCAACGATAACGTTTCCTCCTTCGGGAATGGTCCTCGGCCTCGTCCTCGATTCGGTCTCGATAGCGGCGACAAACACAAAAATTCTCACGCGACAATGACAACTACACGACTGTATTTAGCCAGCGTCCGCACCAGAATGATCCTTGTTGTTTCCCTCCTGCTGCAAAGTTTGAAGCAGTGAGAAGATTTCGCCGTATGTTGTGCCACTCCGGATTTTCATGCTGACCCCGTGTAGCACATTCCAATACAGCACGATTGCATTATTGATCTTTTAATATTTGATAATGATTAGATCTCAGCTGTTCGTACATATGACCTTCTATATCTAGTCGTTCCGCATTTGGTCCGTAATTTTTATCGGCCATAAAAGTTTTAGCAAAATATTTTGATGTACGAATAGAAAGACTTAATTCTTTTGCTGCACGTGCGCGTTGCCGATAGTTTTAATTTTTTTAAATATACTTTTTTTCTATTATTTGTGTACATGCAGGCTTCGTTACGTGCTTCTTTACCTATTGCGTGACAAGTAGAACTTAATGCTTGCCCAGTATTAAATTGTACTACGGATGCTTTCACGCGGGTTTGATAAGAATCTTTTTTTGCAAAATGAATACGTTTGCCATCAATAAATTTACTAATAATTCCATTGCAACTTTCCACGGAATTACTTGTAAATTAATACAGTAAACTATTAGCATTCTCTATTACACGTTTCATCGTAAATTCAATCTTTAATTAAGCCCAGCCTTTTGTAATTGGGGCACAAGATTTTCTTCACCTTCTTTTCGTTCTTCGGTACAAAAATATTTAAGAGAAGAATAACCTTTATGCTCACCGAATACATGCCTGGGTATATTTAATAAATTTTTTATTAATCCTGTGAACTTTTGACCTCGAGATCCTTTACAATTTCGACGAAACGTTACAGCTTTTACTACAGCGTTTCGAATTTTCATTACGTTGTTCGTAACAACTTTTTTTACTAGAACTGTGAATTAATTTTGAGGGATTTACAATAGATCGCGTAACTTATGCTATATCGCATCGAACACTTCTGTAACTATATTCATGTCAAAGCTCTGTCATTAGGCTTTACTTTTTATTATGTGTCATTTTGCTGAAGTGTAAACAACATATTTTTTCTCAGCTCCGAAGATGTCGAATTACGAGCCAACAAAACACCATTTGCGGGAAGTTTTATTTTTCCTATTTAATTCAAGGAAAAGTGCTGCAGAAAGTCATCGAGTGCTGTTGGAAACTTATGGTGAACATACTCCATCGATAAAAACGTGTGAGTATTGGTTTCGACGTTTTAGAAGTGATGATTTCGATACAGTTGACAAAGAACGCCCTGAATCGAAAAAGTTCGAAGATAAGAAATTGGAAACATTACTCGACCAAGATTCATGTCAAATGCAAGAGGAACTTGCTGAATCGTTGAATGTTGATCGCACAACAGTTTCCAAACGTTTAAATGCACTCGGTATAATTCAAAAGCAAGGAAATTGGGTGCCATCGGCGAATTGAAGCCGAGAGATGTTGAACCGCAATTTTTCACGTGCGAACAATTGCTTCAACGGCAAAAAAAAAGGGTTTTTGCATCGTATCACTAGCGATGAAAAATGGGCGATGATACGCTACGATAATTCTAAGCGTAGAAAATCGTGGGATTTGCCTCAACATCGGGTCATGCATAACATCGACGTCAAGGCCGAATATTCATGATTCGAAGCTCATGCTCTATATTTGATGGGACCAGCTTGGTGTTGTGTACTATGAGCTGTTTCAACCGAATGAAACCATCACTGGTGAACGCTACCGAACACAATTGATGCGTTTGAGCCATTGAAAGAAAAACGGCTGCAATTCGAGCAAAGACACGATAAAATAATTTTTCAATATGACAACGCTCGACCACATGTTGCTCGTGTAGTCAAAAAATACTTAGAAACGCTGAAATGGGATGTTTTACCCCCTCCCCCCCATATTCACCAGATATTGCTTCATCGGATTACTACTTGTTCCGATCCATGCAATACGGCCTGGCTAAGCAGCGCTTCCAATCTTACGAAGATACGAAAAATTGGATCGATTGGTGAATAGCATCAAAAGATAAAATTGTTCTTTCGACGCGGAATCCGTATGCTGCCAGAAAGATGGGAAAAAGTAGTGGCTAGCGATGGACAATACTTTGAAAAATAATAATGTACACAATTTTTCACAATAAAGCCTTGAATTTACAAAAAAATCCCTCAAAATTAATTCACAGTTCTAGTAATTTAGAGATCTTTCTATCACCACTACTACCCGCTTCGTGTATTTTATTGCACATATTGCGGAGAAGATGATTCGTGCATTCAATCTTCTCCACAACAATATTCGGATACGGCGGAAAATCTCTTAATTTTTTTAATACATTGCTATCACCGTCACCAATATATTTAGCATAAATCAATCCATGCATTTCTAAACTAAGTCGGAAGCCTTCGAGGATTATATTTTCCATACTTGTAGAACTTTGATTATTTCTCCAATTTTTAAAACATGTATGTTTTTTGGATTGTAAAGACAGTTTTGCTGCTCTTGCACAAACAACACAAAATATTTGTTTCTAACCCCGACAAATAAAACTTTTTGAGAATAATATCCCGTAATAATAGCTGTTTCAGACGGAGAATCATAACTACCACTATAGTAGGATCTTTTCATCTATGAGCCATCTGTTATTACGGATATATGCGGAATTCCATCTATGACATCTGCTTTTTCAATTGCTAAACGTCTTTCCTCTTCGCCCGCCACACGCATTTCTTCTTCCGCGGCGGCGAAGGCTTCCGACATTTCATTATGATAATTAATGTACGTTTTACTACTCATACATGGAACATCCATAGCAGCAAGAAATTCTTCAAGCTGCTTATGACCAGTCAATATGGTAACGCATACGGCATTTCTATTGACATCCAATATTCTATCATCTGTTGGTTCACTCCAGAAGTTATATCTGAAATGACACATTTGACATTCGACAAAAAATTGGGTTTTCAGACCGTGACGCATCGTTTTAGTTATTACAAGATCAGTGAAACGACATTCGCCGATCCAATGAGTGGACAGTATCTGCAATTCAGCAAAAACGTGCCCAAAATCGACGATACATCAGCCATTAATCTCTGCAGAATACAAACGACCTGCGTCGATGTTCTCAACATGCAAAGCAAAATTTTCAATATCTTCGATATCTTCGATATCTTCGATATCATCAATATTATTTTGCAAAGAAATATTTTCGATATCTTCAGTATCATCCATATTATTTTGCAAAGCAATATTTTCGATATCATTCATATTGCTTTGCACTATATTTTTTGATTCCATCATTGTGCATGCATGTACAGTATTTTCAGAAAATGTATTTAATAACTGCGTCGGATCATTATCGCATTTCTATTATCCGTATATGCATGCGTTTCGTTCAACAAATTTACACTTTCACAAAATTCGCGAACGTCTGACACAGATCCGACAGAATCATCATCAAAAATATCACTGATTTTTTTCTGATTAAATTTCCTGTGTCGCGCATACATCGACAGATAACTGAGAAAATGTGTCTGCAACAGATAATGATTGTGTTGTCAACACATCATTATGTGTCATATTTTTCCCATCTGTATCCTCGCATACATGCAATTGATGTGACGTACCTGGAATTTCGACAACTTCTGATCTTTTAAGGTTTTCTTCATTAAAGAACGACTTATTTATTATTATATTAGTCGGATACGATGCATTCTTTTTGACAAAGAAATGCGTCTCCCCGATGTGACTTTTTTCTTATTTATATATTTAGGCATAGCTTCGATGCAAAACACTAACAATACCGTGATGCAAACTACACTTAGGGTGCGTTCGGGGAACGCACTTTTGGTGTTATGAGGGCGCTAAAGCCGTTTGTGGAACCGCTTTGTAGCGCTAACAAAATGGTAATGACGGCATTGTTTGTACGGTGTGACGTCATCATTTCCGCAAACTCATGCTCATGATCTCGTGGTGAGGCACGGTATGCTTATAGCGTTCATAGCATTCAAATACGTTTCTCGAATGCTGTGTACTATGCTGTGCAGGTTTCTCTGCACCAATATTAAATAAAAAATAAAAATGGATAATTTAATCTCTTTACAAGATGCCGAAACAAGTGAAATATCTGAAACATATGTTTCACAAGAAGTTGCGCGGAAAATAAAAACCGGTAAGTAATGAGAGGTTATCAGTGTTATTTATAATTATATAATTATATTTATAATTATATTATACATTATATTATTGAAAATTCATATTATTATTAATAAAATAATATTAATATAATAGGTCGGTTTTTCATAGCTATATTAGTTCAGCTATAAACAACAAACCTAATGTAGAAATGGAAATTTATATACAATAAGAGTGATGCAAGTACAGTCTTATAAAATACATTGTGTTTCTATTTTTTCACTAATACTTTCATTTTTTTATATTCTTTAGATAGTGTTTTTGCTTATAAAATTCTGTCTTCATTAAAAAAAAAGCAAAAGAAAACCAGAACCATTAAATTTGGCATCCACAATCTCAATGATATCAACAGGAGTTGCTCAGTCAGGAAATGCCTCCTGATGCCGAAACTCCTGAATCAGAAGATTCAGCTTTTAAATGCTCACCGGGCCATTCTCCTCCTCATTGAGGAATATAGAAAGCGAGAGGAAGATGTTATCAGGTAAGAAAATTATATTAGATTATTTGTTATAATGATCTGGCTTCATCCACAAATCGAGCTTGTACAGAAAGTGAAAGCGACACCTCTTCGCTCGATAACTATGACACCGCTGTTTTTGTTGGCTCTTTAAACTCACGTAAAAGAAAAAATACTGAAATTGTGGAAGTTATATTAAAAAGTCGAAAGATGGCTGAAGATAGTCGAAAAATGACTGAAGAAAATAAATCAAGGCGTCATCAACAAACAATGGATCAGCGAGCTGAAGTATTAAAAGCTTTAAATAAGCTTATTGATAAATTACAAGTAAGATTCTCTTAAATTATTAATTTTTACTTTCAGACTGATTGTTTTAAATTAAATTTTATACAATGAATTTGATTTTGTTAGTAGAAAAATGGAAGCACACTATGGAGTTAATTCTGTGATGTAAGGAATGCTGATGAATGTGATAGAAATGAGTACTTTAAAAATGCAAGATACTTTTTTAATAAAAAAAGATATTTTTTTATGAAAATTAAAATAAGATATATAAGATAAGATCTTAAGATAATATCTTTATTTTTATTAAATGATTAAAAGTAAGATAATTTTATTTCTATGATGAAAAGTAATGTAATGTTGTGTTCTGTGATGAAAAATAAGCAAATAATTTTATTTCTATAATGAAACAGATAAGACAAATAAAATATTGTTATAATAAAAAAATTTAATGTTTGTTACAAAAAGTAAGATAAGTAAAATATGACTTTTATTTTTATGAAAAAAGTTAAGATATATTTGTTATGAAAAGTAAAATAAGTGAAATAAGACTTATAATAAAAAGTTAGGTATTTTTCTTTGTTATGAAAAATAAAATAATATTTTTATTTCTGTTATAAAAAATAGCTAATAAGATACAATATTTTTGTGTAATGAAAATAAAATATCTTTATTCCTGTAATTACTAGAACGAAGAAGTAAATAAATATATTTTATAAACATTTAATAGAATAATTATTTCCAAAACAATTCATAACTGCTACATACATTTATAATTATCTGTATATAAACCATTTATCACAAAGTTGCACTTATTTTCTAAACGCATCGCATAGGAAGTCTTTCACATATTAAATTTCTTTTAGCAACATCTGTTTGTTCGAATGGTGCAACATCTTGATGCAGATTATTGTTTTCTGTTTCATTTATTTCATTAAGCTCGATTTCAACCCCTTTTAGCAAACAAATATTATGCATGACACAACATGCTATTATAAACATTGGGATCAAATCAACTCTATCCATTGCAAGAACAGTCCGTAGACTATGAAATCTTGTCTTCAGGAGTCCAAAGGCCCTTTCTATCGCTTTTCTGGCAGAGGAATTAAAATTTTTTTGTCTAGGAGTGAGATGCTTATTGTCATGATAAGGAACAATGAGATTTTGAAGTAATTTATACGCAGCATCTCTGAGAATGTGACAATCATCCGGAAATTTTTCTGGATTTCCTAACCATTCTTGCAATTCTGATAAATGGAAAATTCGTTGGTCATGCACAGATTCTGCATGACCTGCGAAACAATGAAGAAAGTGTGTTTTACGGTTACACAGTCTGAAAATCAGAAAAACTTACATTAATCATTATATTTTTAATGCAGATAAAACTTACATTTGTTTAAATTTGTAATAAGTAGTAATATTTGCATGTCGCAACAAACATGACATACCTGCAGTTGAATGGAATGATGTGATTACGGTTCACATATGATGCTGGGTAAACACGAGGAGCTGGAATATTAATGTGAGTGCCATCTATAGCACCGATAACTTTTGGGAAACCACTAGCAGCTTCGAATCCAGTCCAAACTTCATTGATATTATTGCCTGATGGCCATTTGATGATATTTGGTGCTAAATCATATAATGCTTTTATAACTCTTCGTGTAGCACTGAGAGCAGTAGCTCGACCGACGTCAAATTTTTCACATATATCTAAAAGACAAATTGGCGACTGTAGACAAAAACTACTTTGATATAAATACTCAAAAATATAATTTTATAAACAATATTTACCTATAGGAATCAGGAATTGCCATGCGCCATATTGCAATTAAAAATTGCTTCTCAGGAGAAATCATTGGCAGTCCTACACGTGTTCTTTTTAATCTTAGGGAAATAATACCAAGTACATACTCGAATGTGCCTCTAGATATTCTGCATCATAAAATAAAAATACAAGACAAATAAATCTTAACAAATTTATGAATGCATACAAAACAAATTGAGATTGTATGTGTGTATGTGTGTATGTGTGTGTGTGTGTTGTTCTGCATAATTTATGTAATAGAATATGTTACAATTCACAAAATTTTTAAATAACTTGAAATGTGACAAACTGTTGATTATTATAAGCAAACACAATTGTTTTCAACATAATTTTCCAATCTTGGCAACTTCTTTCTTTTTTCCATTAATTGCATGACATGTTCTACTTCATCTTCACTTTCTTCATTAAACTGATGATGAAGAAAAATCAATAATGTCCATTAAAATTGTTGTAATTCCACGTAAAAA